GGCTCCTGCCTTAGCGCCGCGCGCATTCGCTTTAAACTATTGCAAGAGTTTCCTGGATTGAGGGCGGGTGGTTTCAGAATGGGGTTCTCGCCTTAGCGCCCCGCACATTCGTTTTAAACATGTGCAAGAGTTTCACGGATTGAGGGCGGGTTGTTTTCAGAATGTGGTTCTCGCCGTAGCGCCGCGCACATTCGTTTTCAACATGTGCAAGGGTTTCGCGGATTGAGTGCGGGTGGTTTTCAAAATGCGGCTCTCGCCATAGCGCCGCGCACATGTGTTTCCACCATGTGCAAGAGTTTCTTGGATTGAGGGCGGTTTCTTGGATTGGTCCGCACATTCTTGTTAAACAAGTGTACGGGTTTCGCGGATTCCCATGATAGATGTACCAGACATGGTGCTTGGGAAGGATTCGCTATTATGAGGGCGCAACATTTACGATGATTCGCGGTGTTGTCCCAGGAATGGCGTTTTGGTGCGATTCAGAATCGTCAAGAAGCAACAGTCAATTTTATCCATGGCGTTGGAATGCCGAGAATACTGTTTTGGCATGCTTCAGGGTCTTCAAACCGTTGTCTTCCAACGAGGCAAGTCCCCCTGAGGAAATGAAACGTTATAGGGGCATGTGAACAGAGAGCTTGGGGAATTGATTCCAGCATCGTTGGTGACTCTTCGGTGCTCACTGGTCCTCCTCCTCCTCCTCCTCCTCCTCATCCTCAGCTTCACCATCATCATCATCATCATCATCATCATCATCATCATCATCATCATCATCATCATCATCATCATCATCATCATCATCCTCATCCTCATCCTGATCCGCATCCTCCCCCTCCTCATAATCCGTCCTTCTCCTCCCCCTCCTCTCCTCCAACTCAGCCTCCTCCTCCTCCTCCACTTCCTCCTCCGCCTCCTCCTTCTCCTCTCCTCCTCCTCCTCCTCCTCCTCCTCCTCGTCTTTCTCCTCCTCCTCCGCCTCCTCCTCCTCCTTTCTCCTCCTCCTCGTCCTCCTCTCCTCTATCCTCCTCCTCCCTCCTCCTCCTCTCCTCCTCCTCGTCCTCCTCCTCATCCGTCCGCCTCCTCCTCCTCGTCTTATCTCCTCCCCTGCTCTTGCTCTTGCTCCTTCTCCCCTCTCCTCCTCCTCTCCTCCTCCTCCTCATATTCCTCTCCTCCTCCTCTCCTCCTCGTCACCATCATCATCATTCATCCTATCTTCATCACAGCAGCAGCAGCAGCAGCAGCATCATCATTCTCCCCCTCCTCTCCTCCTCCTCCCCCCTCCTCCTCCTCCTCCTCCTCCTCCTCCTCCTCCTCCTCCGCCCTCCTCCTCCTCCTCCTCCTCCTCGTCCTCATCCTCATCCTGATCCGCGTCCGCATCTTCCTCCTCATCTTCCTCCACCGCCTCCGCCTCCTCCTTATCCTCCCCTTGTCGTCGTCCGCCTCCTCTCTACCTCCTCCTCCTCCTCCTCCTCCTCCTCCTCCCTCTCCTCCTCCTCCCCCCTTCTTCTTCGTCTTCTTCTGCCTGTTGTTATTATTTTTAGTAGTGATTGCATTATGTTTTTTGTTAGTACCATCCGTATCATCATTATCATTGTTGTTCTTAGCACTGTTATTAGTATTGTTATTCCGCCTCCTCCTCCTGCTTCTTCTCCTCCTCCTCCTCCTCCCTTCTCCTCCTCCTCCGCCTCCTCCTTCTCCTCCTCCTTCTCATGCTCCTGCTTCTGCTCTTCCTCCTCCTCCACCTCCTCCTCCTCCTGGGAGACTCATAGGGGGCATGGCCCACTATTGGAGAATGGGCCCAAAAGGAAAGACGAAGGGAGCTATCCTCTGCGTTCGTCGGGCCAATGGGCCCGCTTTGGGGGAGCTCGTCCTTCTCGAGGCGGGCCAGGGCGGCCTTGCCTGCTCTGGGGGCTCGGGTGCATTCCTTTGCCAGAGACAGGAACGTGGCTTCCCCTGACCCACCACACGTTCATCACCACCGCAGGCCCCGAGTGTTCCCGAGGCGCCGGCTGAAGTGAATCAGGGCTGGCCTGCCTATACACGGGGAACGAAGCCACTCGAGCTTAGGGGTGGCTCTCATGGGGGACTGCAGGCACACAGCACAGCGGGTGCCCTCGTTCCAGGCTTGTGGCCTGTGAGCGGAGGTGGCGGCAGCAGCGATGAGGTCGACTCTCTTGGCGAGTCGCCTCGCTCTCTGCATGGCTATCTGCTCGGCTAGGGTGGGACCTGGGTCGCCTTTGGCAGCCTGGGCTGTACTTAACTTCTTTCAGGCCCACCGTCAGCAGGTGCAACGAAACTTTGGAGGCTAGTTCGTCCAGGGCCGCGAGGTCCATCCTGGCCTAGGCGGCTCCTCCTCACCTCCTCCTCCTTCTCCTCCGCCTCCTCCTCCTCCTCCTCCTCCTCCTCCTCCTCCGCCTCCTCCTCCTCCTCCTCCTACTCTTCCTCCTTCTCATCCTCCTCCCCCCTCACTCCTTCTCCTCCTCCTCCTCCCCTCCTCCTCCGCCTCCTGCCTCCTCCTCCTCCTCCGCCTCCTCCTCCCGGGCCCAGCGGCCCGCGCAGGCCCCCGAGCCGCCGCTGGCCCCGGAGGCCGCCGCCGCGGCGGCCGCGCCGGCGCCGGCGCCGGCACTCGCGGCCGCCCGGGCCCTGCTGGCCGGCACGGCGGGCGGGGCCGCCGCCGCCTCGGCCGCCAGGACGCCGGCGTGGCTGGCCGCGGGGGAGGCCCCCGGGCGGGCCTCGATCGCGAGCGCGTTGGGCGCGAGCGGTCGGACGGGGCTACCCTGACTCCAAATCCGCCCTACTTTGGCTTTTTTGCCAATTTAAAATTGCGTCGAAAATCCACTTATAAGAAGCCGAAAAAGTAGGGCGGAAATTTCTGCACCCAACATAAAATAGGGCGAAAAAAATCCGTAGCCATTTTGGCTCAAGTGACGCGCGCCCGACGCAGCTCGAGACTGACGCCGTGGCCTCGCACGCGATGGGCCGGGCATGTCGTCCAGAGGCTGCTGCAGACACCACCTGTGCGCCAGGCTGCTGCTCGTCCACCTCCTCGTCTCCCTGTGCGCACTGCTGCTCGGCGAGCGGCTCGTGGCCGCGCTGAGGCTCTGCGCGCCCTGCCGCGAGGGCGCGGCCCTGGCGGCACCGCCGGGCGGCGCCGCAGGGCCGCCGGGCGGTGCGCCCCGCGGAGGTTACGCGCCGCCGGCGGCGCAGCCGCCTGGCGCCCTGCGGGCGGCCGGCGCCGCGGACGCCGGCGGGGCCGCCGGCGGGGCCGCCGGCGGGGCGCAGCCAGAGGCCGCCGACCTGGGGGCCGCGGGCAGCTCTGCGACGAGCAAGGCGGACAAGCCGCGGGAGAAAGCTGCAGAGAAGGGGATTCGCGCCGCGCCACCCCGCGGGCCGCAAGAAGCCCCGGCGGGGGCGCCGCGGGCGCCCGCCACTGGCGTGCAGCGCGCCGGGGAGGACATGATGGCCAGACAGGTGGCAGCAGGGTCGACGTCACAGGCGCGGGCAGGCTTGGCCCAGCTGCCCCAGGGCCAGGCGGCGGGTGCTGGCGTTGGTGCCAAGCCGGGACACGGGCGCCACGCTGGACGAGGCGTGGGCGTCATGTCCTGCCAGTTCCGGTCAAAGGTGTCAGCGAGGGGATTCTTCAAGGGCGACGAGAAGGTTTGCGGGAAGATCTCGCGCTCCGACTCGGCACCCCCGTTCCACACGAGCCCACCGACCACCATCACGAACATGTCCGGCATGCCGATTCCCATGCTGAGCTGCAGCAGCCCGGTGCAGCGCCTGCAGCGGCGGGTCGCCATCCTGATTCGGGGGGAAGCTTGCAGTCCCCCCGCGAGACTGCAGCTGAATGCGTCCATCAGCCAGCTCGACATGGTTGTTGCGCCTCTCGTGAGCAAGGGCTTTGGGGTCGACGTTTTCTCTTCAACCTACACCAATCCGTGCTTGGAGTCCGCGCTGCAGGTTTTTCGAGAATATCTGCGAGTTGATCTCAGAACGAAGCGTCCAGGGAGCCAGTATATCAATGTCTGGGAGGGTGTGGCCTCCGTAATTTCGTATGCGCACGAAAACAATATCCAGTATAGTTTCCTGGCAGTGATCCGCCATGACATGGTCATGAAGATCAATTGGGTCGACAATCTTCTAGGGTGCATGAGCTTCTGTCCTGCCTTCAGGACGAAGGTGCAGATGAAAGGGGACAAGCGTGTCACTGACACCTTGATGGTAGTTGCTGGCTCGCGCATCGGATCTTTTTTCGAAGGACTGAACATCCAGGACAATTGGCCACTGGAGGCCATTTGGGCGCGCTTCGAACCAGTGTTTGGCGAGGGAAACATGACTCCCCTCGTGGACTACGAATCCGACTCCAACCCAGAGATTATGCCGAACACCTTGTTCACGTTTTACGACCGCATCGAATGTAATCGGACGTCATGTAGGTGATGTCGAACAGTAGATCCAGGGATGGCGACGAATATTGTGGCCAGGTTTGATGAGCAGTGGCTGCTAGGGCTGTCCGAATGCGGCCGCTAAGCTCCGCTGAGGGCCAGACGAGAAGTGGATGCTAGGGGATCTCCAAGTTGCAGGCCACGACGACGTTTGACCGACCAGCCAGTCATCGGCTTTGGCGCCACAGCAGCGATCCCCGATTTTTTCCGGCAGCTTCGAGCTGCCCTTCGAGCTCACGTCGGCGGTGATGCACAAATGCCATGCCACGGGCTCCGCGGCAGGAGGGGCCGCACACGCAGGGCCGCTCCGGGGGTCGGCTGCGGGCGCTCCTCCCGCGGTGGCGGTGCGGCCCAGAGGGCGCGAGCTCTGTCTGGCCTCGGAGGCGCCCGCGGGCGGAGCCGAGCAGCAGCGATCGCGGGGCTCAAATATATACATATATGGGAGATCCCGGGCCCCGGGCCCCGGGCCGGAACCCCCCTTGTATATAGGGTGCGGCCCTCTCCCGGGGCGCCCTTCCGGCGGCCCCCGCGCGTTCCAGCCCGCCCAAGAGGGCTCCAGGAGCGCCGAGAGAACCCCAGGAAGGCTTCAAGACCGCCAAAGATCGCTTCCAGAAGGGTCAAGAGGCGCTCAAACCGCCCCAAGAGGCCTTCAAGAGGCCCCCCACGAGCGCCCCGGGAGACCAAAATAGCCCCATTCCCTTCGTAAAACGTACATTTTTACGATATCAGCTCCCTTAGCTGTCGGAGCGGCCAGAAAGCCCCACGAGGCGCCCAAGGACGCTCCAGGACGACTGAGGACAGCCCCAAGACGGCCCAGGAGGGCCTCCCGGGACGCTCCTCCGGCGGCCCCCGGCTGCCCAGTCCGCCCAAGAAGGCTTCAAGAGCGCCGAGAGAACCCCAGGATCGCTTCAAGACCGCAAAAGATCGCTTCCAGAAGGGCCAAGAGGCCATCAAACCGCCCCAAGAGGCCTCCAAGAGGCCCCCCAAGAGCGCCCCGGGAGACCAAAATGGCCCCATTCCCTTCGTAAAACGTACATTTTTAAGATATCAGCTCCCTTGGCTGTCGGAGCGGTCAGAAAGCCCCACGAGGCGCCCTAGGATAGCCCGAAGACAGCCCAGGAAGGCCTCCCGGGACGCTCCTCGGGCGGCCCCCGGGCCTCCCAGTCCTCCAAAGAAGGCTCCAAGAGCGCCGAGAGAAGCCCAGGATCGCTTCAAGACCGCCAAAGATCGCTTCCAGAAGGGACAAGAGGCCATCAAACCGCCCCAAGAGGCCTCCAAGAGGCCCCCCAAGAGCGCCCCGGGAAACCAAAATGGCCCCATTCCCTTCGTAAAACGTACATTTTTAGGATATCTCATCCCTTGGCTGTCCGAGTTGTCAGACAGCCCCAGGAGGCGCCCAAGGACGCCCCAGGACGCCTGAGGACAGCGCTAAGAGGGCCTAGGAGGGCTTCCTGGGACGCTCCTCGGGCGGCCCCCGGGCCTCCCAGTCCGCCCAAGATGGCCCAAGAGACTTCCCGGTCGCCCCGAGAGGGCCCCCGGAGCGCTCCGATACGGCCCAACATGGCCTCCAGAAGGGCCACGAGGCCGTCAAGACGCCCCAAGAAGGCTCCAAGAGGCCTTCCAAAAGGGCCCCGGGAGCCAAAACTTACTCCACGCCCAAGAGGGCCCCAGGACGGCCCCAAAAGGGCCTTAAAAGGACCTTCGACAAGGCCCGGATGGCCACAGTTCGTTGATTTGCGTGAGATGTTGTTGGATTTCTTCCGCGCGGAGGAGACGGAGAGGGCGAAGGAGGAGGAGGAGGAGGAGGAGGAGGAGAGGAGAAGGAGGAGGAGGCAGGGAGGAGGAGTGGAGGGGAGGAGGGGGGGAGAGAGGAGGAGGCTCGAGGGCGATCGACGATCGGCGACGACGACCGGCGACGGTGATTGACGACGACGACGACGACGACGACGACGACGACGATGACGACGACGACGACGACGATCGACGACGGTCGACGACCGACGACGACGACGATCGACGACGATGACAATAGTCGACGGCGCCGATCGACGATCGACGGCGACGACGATGGCCACGCCGACGGCGGCGACGCTGCCCGCGTGACAGCCCAAGAGGCACACAAGACAGCCTCATCGAGGCCCCAGAGGGCCCCAAGACGTCCAAGAGCGCCTCAAGAGGGCCCGAGATGGCTTGAAGATGGCCGAAGAGGGCCCCAAGAGGGCCTTCAAGAGGCAAAACTTTACCCATTCCTCGTGTAAAACGTACAATTTCAGCATACTCGCTTGCTTCGTCCTCAGCCCCGAGGAGCCCCAAGACAGCCCAAGACGGCCCCAAAGGCCCCAAAGCCGGCCCAGGAGGCCCCCAAAACGGCCTCAAGGAGGCCCAAGAGGGCCTCGTTCGAAATCATGTTCCCAGAATTTTCTCCGGGAGCATGATTTCCGGGCTCCCAGGACGCCCAAGAGGGCCCGAGGACGGCCCCAAAATGGCTTAAAATGACATTCAAAAATTCCCAGAGGGCCACAGTTCGCTGATTTTCGCGAAATGTTGTTGGATTTCTTCCACGCGGAGGAGACGGAGAGGGCGAAGGACGAGGAGGAGGAGGAGGAGGAGGAGGGGGAGGAGGAGGGGGGGGAGGAGGAGGAGGAATACGAGAAGGACGAGGCGGGGAGGAGGAGTGCAGGGGGGAGAGAGGAGGAGGAGGCTCGAGGGCGATTGACGATCGGAGACGACGACCAGCGACGGTGATTCACGACGACGACGACGACGACTACGACGACGACCGATGACGATCGACGACGATGACAATAGTCGACGCCGCTGATCGATGATCGACGGCGACGACGACGGCCACGCCGACGGCGGCGACGCTGTCCGACAGCCTCAGCGAGGCCCAAGAGGGCCTCAAAACGTCCAAGAGCGCCTCGAGAGGGCCCGAGATGGTTTGAAGTTCACTTCGTCTATCCCTCAGAGATCGGGGTTCATTGCATAGGGCGTTCAGAGGGGGTCCCTGGGGTCGGACGGGTGGCGACGCAGGATGGAGGATCAACTTGCAACTGGAGCGAGAATATTTAGATCAACTCGAAAATAAAGCGAGGATTTGGATCACATCTCGGCGATCATGCACACAATAGGACACCATGACAATATAGACTATGCTATTTGAGTGTCAAACCAATGTGATAGCAGAGCTTTGAAATGGATCAAAAGCGGCACATCAACAACACAACGAGCAATCCAATTAGCAGCACGACCAATAGCAACACCAACAACAACAGCACAAGCAGACCATATCCGCACCAACACATAAGCTTCCCATGATCTCAATTCACCAGTGCGCCCCAGAAATCAAACGGCTTCGCCGAATCGCACGCCCAGACTTGTCTCGTGGAGGCGGGCCCCGACGGGGGCAGGCGAGAGCAGTGTTTTGAAAAGAGGCCACAGGGATTCCAATTACGTACCACTATTTCTGTAGTTATTATGGTTGGCTTCCATGACATCGTTGCCATACATGACGTCGTCGTCGTCGTCCATAGCATCGTGCTCCTCGTCGCCGAACCTTTCAGAAGAGTCGCACGCACGGCGCGGTGGGCGGATAAAACGGGAGACGGGTAGGCTCGGAGAGGGGCAGGAAGTCTAGGAGAGAAACGCGGATGAGGGTGGAGGAGGGGCGAAACGAGGGGGGGGCGATCGAGAGAATGCGGGGGTCCTAACGGCGATGGAAATGATGATGTATCCTATATGTGGTAACAGCTGCGGCCAATTTTTTGGGGGCAAGTGGTAACATGTGACACTCGAGCGACACATGGGCATTGTGTATTCAAGCCCGTCAACAACTGGGACAAATAACAGAAACATCAAACTTCAAGCAAACGCAGTTCTTCCGTAGCCATTTTGGCTTACCAGCCGCACGTGGTGCGGATGGAGCTGGACGATGTGCTGCAATTCGGCCTACTGGACATCCCAGATATAGATATCGTTGTTGATGACGCCGCAGCTCCTCCAGCTCCGCCCGAGAGAGATGTCGTGCCAGCTCCAGGTGCTGCACCAGGTGGGGCACCAGATGGCGCTGCTCCAGGTGCTGCACCAGCGCCTGAGGCGCCGCCTGCCATGGGTGCAGCGCCAGGTCATGAGGGCATCGATTATGCATTGGCTGCATTACCACCAGTGTTGAACCCGAGGAATGTTCGTTTTCAGTGGAGGTCGAAGAGCCACATCGAGCACGCACGGAGATTCTTGTCCAAGAACCGTTTCAATAAAATGAGAAAGCAACGAGACGACGAACGAGCTGAAAGCCGTCATACGCTGCAGGCCATTCGAACGATGATTCCCGATGCAGCCAAGATGCTTGGAGATCCCAAGGCGAAGCAGCTCGGCAAGAGAAAGGCACCCGTCCTCCCAAGTGACATGACAATAGCTTGCCGCGCTGCTCATCTGCCTGTGCAGTCAAATCTCACCATAGGGGTCAAGCACAGACGGCTCATACTCGCAGCCACGAGGATTATTCATAGGAGGCAGGAGCAGAGTTTGCAGGCCATGCTGGAAAAATCGAAGGCAGCTTTGAAAGGAGTGCGCGATGAGAAGGGCCATCGGGGAGTTCACGTCTCTTACTGCCACTTGTGGGACGAGGTCGCTGCCAAATTCAGATGGAAACCCACCAAAAAGTTCATGGGCAGCAGGACCGTCGCCAAGCCGACGCTGGTCCAGAGGGGCTGCGTCACGTGGTGCTTGTTCGACACTCGGAGGCCCTTGGCACGAGGATTCAGAGAGTATTGGCTGGTGAGGCCGAGAGCGGTCGAGGGGACATCAGCTCAATGCATGTACCCAGGAGTGCAGCAGGGGATTCCACGGAGATTTCGGATGGATGATGCTGCAGAGATGGCCGCTTTAAGCAATCAGGTGACATCATATACGTTCATGGCCATGGGCGACAAAGCAGGTTCCAACGTTGTAATGATGAAGAACTGGGGGAAACAGCACGAGGAGCTGCCCAAGGCGCCCAATATTCTATATTGGCCTGATTGCTGTGGTATTCATATTCACCACAGGGCTAAACTACAGATCAAGGGTTGCCGCCAACATATCATGAGACACTACGGCATCGCTCAGATCCAGAAGCTGCAGACCACTGCGACTAGAATCACGAAGAGCATCGAGAAGTTAGTCAACCAGAAATGCAAGCGGCAAGTCGGCAGGTCCCCAGCCGGTGAGTATTCCTTTTTTCACTTGGTGGACACGATTTTCAATTTCAATGCCAAGCACCATGAACGTAAGACTGGCCATTCCAAGCAGTGGCACGCCTTCCGACACCTGTGCGACGTTGTGAATGGCGACTGGCGCGAGGAGAAGTGGGTGCACTGGTGCCACGACGATGCGACAGGGCAGCCATGCTGCAAGAGCGAGGCAGAGACAAAGGCGAAGGTCACGGCCGCCGTGACCGACGCACTGTGGGGGCGCCAGGACAAAGTGCCAGCAGAGAGCAGGTGGACCAACGCCCTGCCCAATTTCAAACAGACGATCCTCAGGCGCATCATATACCGAGTTGGTCTGGATTGCTTTTGC